CCAAAAACAGCTTTGATGTCAGGCAGCAAGCGCGCTTGCAGCGCTGGAGTGCAATAGGCCATCAGGCTTGGGCCTTCCATGATGCCCTCTATCTTCACTCGGATGCACTACCGCGAATTTCTCGCTTGAATCAGGCAAGATTTGACCTCTTTGAGCAGCATGTGATGAATTTACGGGGTTGACTTCGCAGTGGATTGGATAGTTGGGAGAGGCTTGAGAACTCAAGCTGAGCGCGCACTCGCATTGAGCAGCGCTGGCATTTCAGTTTCTGCTCGGCTGCTTTTTGGACATCATGCTCTAGGCATTGATCGACGAGACTCCCGTCAAAAGAGGCTGGTGTGTGAGCCTTTGGCTCCTGGAAAGGGCTTAACGTTCTGATGGCATGCAGCTTGAAAGAATGAGCTGTGTTTCAACTAGTAGTTTCTTTCATGTGACAACACGTTACTTGACTCTGTCATTCATTGCTCCCAGTGCTGCGCACCCCGCCCACCCTAGTGGATACAGGGAGAGGCTTGAGAACTCAAGCTGAGCGCGCACTCGCATTGAGCAGCGCTGGCATTTCAGTTTCTGCTCGGCTGCTTTTTGGACATCATGCTCTAGGCATTGATCGACGAGACTCCCGTCAAAAGAGGCTGGTGTGTGAGCCTTTGGCTCCTGGAAAGGGCTTAACGTTCTGATGGCATGCAGCTTGAAAGAAAATCCTTCTTGTTCTTGACAAGCCAATGACACCAGTGATCGTCGGCGAACAAGACAAGGGTTTTCTGGAGCCATTGTGGACCAAGCTTGTCCTGTAACGCGTGCATCAGCGCAATCGTGTAAAAGGACCAGAGAAAGGGAGCGATGCAACATCCCTGTTTCAGCCCATTCGTGGTGGGCTGTCCCCCAGTGGTATCCCCTGAACGAAAGATGTATTGGGCATCCCGATGAAGCTGCTTAATGATTGTGATTGTGTCTTGCGTCACTCCATGCTGCGCCAATGTTCCGTACACAATGGGCCTGCTGGTGAGGTCATAGGCCCGAGACAGGTCCAGCGACAGACTTAACCCCCCAACGCACGCATGTTGTTTGCGTCCAGAATGCTGCTGGAATCGGTTAACACGATTGGTGCGAAGAAGAACACTAGCGTCCTCAAAGTGTAGATGTACCCGGAGGAGAGCGTCGAAAGTCCCCCGATGCTTTGCGTACGCGTATTGAGGAAGGTTTGTGATCAGAGGGAGCAGCACTTCAAGCAAGGATTGTCGCAGCAACCCGGCTATGAGCTTAGCGCTGGGACATTGCAACCCTATCGGTCTTAAGTTCTCGACAGCGATTGCTGGCTTTTGTGGTTTGGGGACTAGGGTGATATAAGCATCATGTAGCTCATCCTGCAGACACTGTGTACTGCCAGCCTGGAAGTGGTGTCGGAGGGAGTTCCCCAGCACCGGCGCGATGGCTCCTGCACAGCATCGCCACAGAGCGGCTGGCGCAATACCAGCCGGAACTGCCTTGAACACGCCGAGCTTCTGTAGCTCTCGTTGCACATCCTGGTCAGTGCATTGCCAGCTGTCCTGCATGGCAGGGATGTCTGGCTCATCCGGCAGTATGCAGAAAGTGTCCTTGGCATAGTTGAGCATGGCTTGCAGAGCCGCGTCTTTGCCCAGAAGTTGACCTTGTGGGTCACGCAGTCTGGACACAAGCTTCTGGCATCGCGGAGCCAAGCCTCGCACAATTTGGTGGAGCACACGCTGGTCTCCCTTGGCGGCTGCTTGTTCTGCTTCGGCAAGCTTGCGTAGCAGCGACTCACGTTTGAGCAGCCGGCTTTGATCCCGTAGACGCCTGGAGGCCTTGGAAAAGTCACTGGCTGCCTTCCACTTAAGAAAGATGCCATGCGTGACTGCAATGCAGGGCGCCTTGAGTGCTCTGTAGAATTGCCAAGTGGTTTTGGCAGAGGCCCGGAAGGAATCCTGCGCGCTGATTCTGCTATCAGGTCTTATTTCTGGCGGGAAGTGCACAGCTGCAGTTTCAAGCAGGACTTGGTTCACGATGGCACGGGCATCCTGAAGGCTCGAGGGCTGGACCTGAGCAAGGCGGCTTGCCACGTCTTGTTGCAAGGCCTGGGCTCGCTCACTGTTGGTGCGCGTGCGCACAAGAAGTTCGTCTCTCTGAAAGGTGACACAATCAGCTGGTTTGGCAGGCGGCCGGCGGTTAAAAGGCACAACAGCAATGGTGGCCTCAATGGGCCAGTGGCCAGCCAAGCTGTATGCTTTGATGGGGAAATTGTACTTTGGCTTTGCATACCGGGCTGGGCCCTTTGCATCCGATAGCTTGGTCACGACAAAATCAATGCGGGTTCGGCTGGTAGTGGACTCATACGTGTGGCCTGGCTTGGCATGCCAACTGTTTAGGACACAAAGATCACACTTCTCAAGCAGTTTATGCAGTTGCTTGTCGCCTTGCTGTCCGTCTCCCGACAGCAGAGAGCAGCCGACATGTGGCCGGCGCGCAGCAAGCTGGGAGTTGAAGTCACCTCCAAGCAGCAGAGGATTTCTGCTCGGCAACGCTTGCAGTGCGGTCGAGAGCTTAGTCCAGACATCGCTACGATACTGCTGATTGAGGTCTGGGGTGAGTTGAGGCCTATAAACATGCTGGTAGATTCCTATGATGTCAACATTAAGGCGGCTCCGGCGATGGAGAGCACGGACGTGCAGCAGTCTACCCGGATATATTTCATGAGCTGCGGGCTCTTGAAAGGCATCCTGATTAATCATGATGAGTATCCCTCCATATCGATCAAGACTGAGCTCAGAGTCATACCCAGAGCTGTGAACGCACATCCACTGTCCACTTCGGAAGTCGCTACTGGCTCGCCAGTGCGTCTCTTGCAGAATGATAACATCATAGCAACCGCCCTCAACATCGAGCCATGCAACGAGCTCCTGAAAGCAAGACCCCGACAATCCTCCAACATTCCAGCAAAGAGAGCGGACATCCATGGATTTATGGGGTCGAGCTATCTGTTGTCTGGGCCTAGATGTGAGGATGGCAAGGGGCTCAGAGTTAACTAGGGCTTGAAGTGAGGCTCGAGTGTGCCAGCGGCCTTTGTAGAACGTGCCGCCTTCCAGGGAGGCAGCGGCGCGGTTCCTTGCGCGGCGAAACGCACGCTTGGTGGCTTTGGGAATTAGGGACCCGGGGTTGTGGCTTTCTCTTGGCGCGACACCGTGCTGCTTCCCCCGTTCGGATGAACGGAGTCCCCCACCTACCACGGTAGTAGATGGAACCCTCGCTCCAGCTGCAGATGGGAGTTGTATAAGGCAAAGCTGTAGCATCCTGCAGCCAGCGGACTTGGGACCGCTGCGGCCATGACTAACACTGGGGCTTCGTTTTGAACGGAGGTTAGGTTTACAGGAGTCCTTGGGGCTAAGACAGAGCGCGTGGCCTGATGACGAATCCTTGTCCCGAGAGGAGCAGGAGTCGGCTTGCCTCTCCGGGCCAGGTCTGTCAGGCCAACGCGGCGGGGTTCTACTTCGGGAGAGACGACGGGGTCTACAAGGCTTAAGGGGACATGATGTGCTGACCCTGGCCTGCCCTTGGAAGCAGGCTGCACGCAGGTTACGCGGTCGGTACAGCGCCAGATTTTCACGCTCAGGTGTGAGCAGAGCAGTCGACCTACTTATCTCTTCACGCATGACCATTCTTACGCACGCAGTCCTGCCAATCTCGAAGCCGGACATCAGTGAGCAGTCTGGACACTGTCCACTGCTGAAAACTCCTCTTGGCCCACCCCAGGAAGGCTGCAACCGACCTGCTGCTCGGCGCCGGGCGGGTGGCATTGAGCTTCCATCTTTGCAGACCCAGGGCAAAGTCTCTTGCCCTCTCCAACGCATGTCCCACCAACTCCAAGCAGACCACACTAGGTCCTTTGGTGTCACTGCTGTCATGAGAGGAGGCATCCTCACTGTCACTGCTGTGCTGGAAACTTGCAACGGCATCTGATTCCACAGCGTTAGCCTGAGGTTCACCATGCTTGCCGCGTCGACGGAACTGCAGCATGCCGTCTCCATGTACTGCGGGAGGCGGCGGTGGCCCTCTAGGCAGGACATTCCTAGCACGCAGAGAATCAGCAGCGCCACCGGAAACCTTAGCGTCTTCGCCATCTGCAGACTGTGTTGTCGCACTCGGGCGACGCATGCCATGGCGCCAGGTGGTTCAAAACCTAACTGCCCACTCTCAGACTCGGGCCGTGGAGCTTCGTCATCGTCAACATCATCATCATCATCATCATCACCATCATCATGACCATCATCATCCTGATATCACCATCAACACGGAAATCATTTCGTGGAACCTGTCATCTTTATCATCACGTTGCCATTATCACGATCGTGTTCGTGATCAGTCGCATCATTATCATCATTATGACTATGATTATCATTATGATTATCACTATCATTATGATGATCGTCACGCTCATCGTCGTAGTCATTCGTATGATTATTGCTATCGTCACTGTTCTGTTTCCTGTGGTTGTTATCAGTAGAACTGCTACGCACATGGGTTGGAGTTGTTTGCGCCTATCTCTGCAGCAGCAATGCATTCTGATGCGCTGTCCCAGATACCCAGAACCCTAGGCCCGCTTCAGGTGTACATCATGTGGGTTTAGGGTTTAGGGTTTAGGGTTTAGGGTTTAGGGTTTAGGGTTTGGGGTTTAGGGTGGGGGCGTGGCGGCAGTGCACCCGAGGCTGATGCGGAACATTCCTCTGATGCAGAGCCCTAGGCCCCCATAACTTCCAGTAGCACGAGTAGCAAAGAGAGTCATGGTAACATTCGCATGGATCTGAATCACTCGGATGATGCTGATGATGATGGCGATAGCTACTAATACTACTTACTAGTAACCCCCAACATATGTAAAGCAATAATCCCTATATTGCCCTTCACAAGCAAACTATTTTGACTTTTTGTTCGGGCTCTTAAACAAAAGAGTGGATCATGATGATCCCCACGTCAAGCCCCACACCGGCCTCGGCTTTCTTCGGGCTCTTCCCGGCCATGGCGGCGCGCAGCGCCTCCACGTCGTCTTCCACATCCTCAAGGGAGGGGGGGGGGGGATGCGGGCGCAAAAACCCTAAAACCCTAAAACCCTCCCTAAAACCCTAAAACCCTACAACCCCAAAACCCCAAAACCCTAAAGCCCTAAAGCCCTAAAACCCTCAAACCCTAAAACCCCAAAACCCCAAAACCCCAAAACCCTAAAAGCCTAAAAGCCTAAACCCTAAAACCCTCAGAGGGGGATGCGGGTGGTCTATAGACTGCAGGCTCCAGTCTTCGGCTGCATTACATGATCTCCCCTAGAACCCGAGAACCCTACAAACCCTTGTAAACACTGATGAACCCGAGACACCCCTCCGAACCCGAAACACCCTAAACCCTAAACCCTAAACCCCAAACCCTAAACCCCAAACCCTAAACCCTAAACCCTAAACCCTAAAATTAGATTGCTAAAGACTACAAGGTGGCCCCTTCCTCGATGTCGTGCGTGGCACTGAAGTATCGACTCTCCAGTCGGTCTGCCATCCTCGCAGTGGAGGGCTTACGGATCAGGGTTTGTAGGATTTAGGGCCCATGAGGTGTAGGCGGTGTAGGGTTTACATAGGGCTTGTAAGGCGCAGGGCTTACATAGGGCTTGTAGAGTTTGTAGTTTGCGGTCTCCGGGTTTGGGGCTAATAGGGGTTTGGGTGTTTAAGTCGGGCAGAAGAGCGTAGCAGTTGGAGTGCTGTTGTTAGGGCAGCCTGGACACAAAACCCTGATCCCCGGAACTGCCCACACATTCCAGGATGGCCTTTAAAACCCTCAGAAAAGATTCCTAAATATGACACTCTCAAACCCAAGAGGCTAAACTTAACCAGGGCGTACCGAGCAGCCAAACTCAGGGTCTCCACATAGGACCCCCGCATCTGTCTAGCTCACGGCCCTCACATTCTAGGAGGCCCCTGAAAACCCTCTAAATAGTCCTGAATATGATCCTCTTATATAAACCCAATAAGGGATCATACCCTAAACCCTAAACCCTAAACCCCTAAAAATGCCCCAAGCTCGCTGCCCTCACGTTGCCTCTCCAGCAAGACAGGATGGTGGAAGTCCAGGCGGGTTAAGCAGTGAAAGACCAGCAGAGCCTGCCATGTGAATGCAGCCCGAAGCCTAAACCCTAACCCGAAACCCTAAACCCGAAGCCCCAAACCCTAAACCCTAAACCCGAAACCCTAAACCCCAAACCGTAAAGCCGGGGACCAGGGATTCTAGATTATGGTCCCTTTTTGGAACGCCGTACATTAGGGTTGGGGGCTCAGGGTACCACCCTGAACCCTAAACCCTAAACCCTAAACCTTATAAGGGTGCCCCTAAGATCGAGAACTGCGCAATTGATTTCTGACAGGCTTGCTGGTTGTTACTCGACTTGACTAGGGTGGCCCTGAAAACCCTCTGAACAAATATTCCAAAATATGATCTTCTTATATAAACCCAATGTAGGGAAAGTATGAAATACCCCCAAGGCCTACCTAGTAGATCTGGGGTCTTTGCTGTGCAGGCCAGGCAGTTCTCAAGCCCAGTTCTTCGCATTTGTGCTGGGTGTTCCTTTCAGTCATCTGCCAACAAGCATAGCCAGGATGGAGGAATTCCGTCGTAGGGGACCTTCGTTCTTCTTAAAGTGGTGCGTACCTGTTGCACCTCCAAGAAACGTTACCTCTTTAGGGTCAAGCACTGATAAGACTTATACAGGGTGTAGAGTCTAGAGGGCTTCGAAGGGTTTAGGGTGGAAGATATCATGTGCAAAAAAGCCCTTCCCCCGCAACCCTTTCCTGAGCCTCACCACTTTTTGTTAGAGGGGGCTATCCAGGGCATGGTTGGGCGTCGGATCACCGTGAGGGGTTGGGCAGATTTGTTGAAGGTTGTTGTTGGCGTTTAGGGCGTCTTGGAGGGCTTTAGGAGCCTGAACCCTAAGCCCTAAAACCCTAAACCCTAAATCTTGAACCCTAAACCCTAAACCCTAAACCCTAGACCCTGTTGCGCTTACCCGCACCTGGGAGCTGTTGAGCTCTCGTCTCAGCAGCTCTTCGACGACCTCGTGGCAAGGCTTGGCTGGGTGGAGTTGGAGATGCCCTTGTTGTGCGGCATGCAGCTAAGGGTTTAGGGTTTAGGGTTTAGGGTTTAGGGTTTAGGGTTTAGGGTTTAGGGTTTTGGGTTTTGGGTTTTGGGTTTTTGGGTTTTTGGATCACGTGAGCTAAGGGCAAGCCCTGTATACCCTGAGGCCATTTACCCTGAGCCCTAAACCCTGAACCCTAAAAGCCCCCACTGCACCCCGCCTCTTGCCAGCGCTGGGACGCGTCTTCGGTCCAAGAAGCCGTGTAGGCAAGGCTCAGAGCCTCTGCGTTTGTTGCTAGGGTTAAGGGTTTAGGGTTTGGGGTTTAGGGTTTATGGTTTGGGGTTTAGGGTTTAGGGTTTAGCGTTTAGGGTTTAGGGTTGTAGGGTTTAGGGCTATAGGATTTAGGGTTCTGGTTTTCGGGGGGTCGCGCGGGAGCGGACTCGAGCCTCTTCAACCACCAGGGATGCCGGCGCCGTACTCAATCGAAGCTCCTGAAAGCCCCTACAAGGAGGGGCGCCCTAGTTATAATTGGAGTTATAAGAACCCTAAATTGGGTTGTAAGGATCCCAAATTAGCTGATAAGTCCCTTCCTTACCCCTTAACTACAGTTAGTATAGTAAGGGCGCCCTCGTTGTAGCCCCTAAGCCCTTACCATTATGAACCCGACTTGAGTGGGTACTTAGGGGATTTTGCCCGCGTGATACTGGGGCTTCCGGCTCAAACTGCTGAGCGCCGGGTACGTGGGGCAGAAAAAAAGTGCAGTGGCTGGGTATTGTATCAACACGAGGTTTAGGGTTTAGGGTTTAGGGTTTAGGGTTAGGGTTGAGCCTGGTGCTCCAGACGCTTAGCTCGGCAACCTAAACGCTCAGGAACGCCATAGCCATAGACCACACAAAGCCAGGCCTGACACTTGAATCCTGCATGACCCGCTCACCCAGCACCGCCCCGCGCAAGACGACCCTCAACGCCAGCAGTGTTTAGCGCTTAGGGTCTCTAAGGAAGACCCTCCAACACGAACTCCAAAGGTCAGTTCTAAACTCCTCAAATTAAACACCCAAAAACCCGATGAAACAAAGCCCTCAACTCCGAGCCCTGACCCCTCACACCCCAAACTCGTAAACCCTCAACCATGCTAGTAGTCTAGGCCTCCAAAACATTACATCCCCAGACAACGCGGCAGTCCCCGAAGTCACCGTCGCTCACGTCAACCTTCGGGGCGACCTTCGCAAGAAAGGAGTTCGGGCTTTGGGGTTTAGGGTTTAGGGTTTAGGGTTCAAGATTTGGGGCTTATCATGTAGAATCGGGCCGGGGGTTGTGGGTGTTGACGAGGGCTTTACCATTTGCTGGTGGCTGCTGGGGACTCAGGGATTTGGGGCTTAGGGCTTGTGTCGGGCCTATTGCCTGAGCATCCATACAGGGGCATGTCGACTGTGGGACTCAACACGGCTCATGGTATGGGGTGGTCTAAACCCAATAAGGAACCCTAAACCCTAAACCCTAAACCCTAAACCCTAAACCCTAAACCCTAAACCCTAAACCCTAAACCCTAAACCCTAAACCCTGAACCTGCACGCCCACAACCGCCTACATACTACACCCCGGGCGCCTTGACGACCTCCTTCGGCCGCAGCAGCAGCCAGCTGGGCGCAGCATCGTCAGGCGCAACTCGGTCGTCGGGAATCGGGGTGTTGGGTTTATAAGGTTTAGAGTGTAGGGTTAGGGTTTAGGGCTTAGGGTTTAGGGTTTAGGAGGATTTCTGGGAGGATCCAAAAGGCAGATCCCCATCAGGGTTCCCAAGAATGACCGAATTGTAGTGTAGGGTACTATTCGGGGGTTTTACTTTTTACATTCCATGAGAGGTTTCATGTTCACCGCCCACCAAGGTCGTAGGGTGTGGGTTCTTTCAGGTTGGCCTCGGCTCCCTGAAACCCTAAAGCCTAAAACCTGAACCCTAAACCCTGAACCCTAAACCCTAAACCCCTAAAACCCTAAACCCTACCTCCTCCCATAAGGCCGACGCTTAGAGAGCCGTCCTCAGCCTCGGCGGCCGAGGCGACCTCCGAAAAGTGGCGCGCCTTGGCGCGGGGTTTGGGTTTAGGGTTTTGGGTTTTGGGTTTTGGGTTTAGGGTTTAGGGTTTAGGGTTTAGGGTTTAGGGTGTAGGGTTCAGGGTTTCAGGTGGTTCAAGCGCGGAGTTCTTGGGGTTCTTTGCAAGCCTCAAGATCAAGGTAGTCGTGTCTTAGGTGGGTTTCAGATCGGTTTCATCTAAACCCTTAACCCTCTATACCCTAAACTCTAAACCCTAAAGACGCAAAACCATAAACCCTTTAAACCCATAAACCCTATAAACCCTAAACCCTCATGGCCCTGAAGGCTCAGAAATTATCGAACAAGGGCTGGAGGGCTTCGGGAATCTGGCGTTGTTGGCCTTGCTGGTTGTAGGTCTGCAGATCCAGAAGGTTTAGGGTTTGGGGTTTAGGGTTTAGGGTTTAGGGTTTAGGGTTTAGGGTTTAGGGTTTAGGGTTTAGCCCAGCTCGGCCTCTAAGACCATGAAGAGCCGAAACCCGCAATCCTGAAGCTGTTCTGGAATCGCCCAGCATCCTTCTTTTGCTTGGGGCCTAGCGTTTAGGGTTTAGGGTTTAGGGTTTGGGGGGGGGGGGGGGGGGGGGGTTGGGGGGAATGTTGATTACTCAGCTTCAGCTGCTCGTTCCACCCTCTTACAAAACACAACGCTCTTGTCATTCCATTGACCTTAGACGCTATAAGCAAACCTTAAGCCCTAAACCCTATAAACCCTAAACCCTATAAGCCCTATAAACCCTCAACCTGATAATTATGCTATATACCCCTTCAACCATTAAACCCTAGGGTCTCTAGGGTTTTCGTTTAGGTGCAGGGTCTATAGGGTTTAGGGTTTTAGAGTGTAGGGCAGGGCCTTTAGGGTTTAATTAGAGCTTGGGGCCTAGGGTTTATTTACGGCTTGGGGTCTGTGGGGCTCAAGGAATTCTCTTTTTGGCAAGGCACGGGTGCCGAGAAGACCGGAAAGCGTCGGACCAGAGGGCGACAGGCCTCATACCCCAATCCCTAAACAACTTGAAGCCTAAACGCTCTGATTGTGTCTCTGATTGAGTCTCGGGCTTTGTGGTCGTGGTGCAGAAGCTCTTCTGTGTTGAAAAGCGGGTTTAGAGGGTTTGGGGTTTAGGGCTTAGGGTTTAGGGTTCAGGGTTTAGGGTCTGGGGTTTAGGGTTTAGGGTTTTGAGATTCAGGAAGATCGGGCTCAAGAGTCTGGGATGTCGAGTACGAGGTGTGAATTCTAAAGTTCAGGCTTTGTTGGCCCTGAACCCTGAAGTCTAAAACACCAAACAACTTCTAAGCCGGTTTAGGGTTTAGGGTTCAGAGCAACGCCCCCTAAACCCCAAACCCTAAACCCAAAATCCTAAACCCTAAACCCTCAACCCTCAACCCTCAACCCTAAACCCTAAACCCTAAACCCTAAACCCTAAACCCAAGCTGGAGCGGGGCCTGCCAGGCGGGCCGCGCAAGGCGGCGAAGGGACATGGCTCTCTCCGGACCGGGAGCTTTGCATCCCAGGATGACGCTGGCTTGTCGGGTTTAGGGTTTAGAGTTATAGGGTTAAGGGTTAAGGGTTCAGGGTTAAGGGTTAAGGGTTCAGGTTGGAAGACAGTGGATCCAAGAGTTAAGGAAAATTAACTCTGAAGTTAATTGACCGGCATCGGGCCGGCTCGACGCCCCTTAGGTCCAGCACAATTAACTCTCGATTTAATTGCCTGTTAACGTCGCGCGACGTAGCATGCCATGCCGGCAAGCTGCTCAAGGAAAACAATTAAATCAGGATTTAATTGTTTCTTCTAGACGACCCCAACCCGCAGAAACAATTAAATCAGGATTTAATTGTTTCTGCTAGACCACCTTAACCACTAGGACACCCATGAAATTAGGGACAACCAGATAACGAACTACACCTACACCGGAATGTTGATGGCGTGGCAGTGAGGTGATTGTCGAAGGGAGCTCACAGTTCCTCGGAGGTCTTTTCGTGGGCACGACAAGCATAATTATGTCGACTGGCAGGAAAACATGCACGCGCGAACGATGTGAGACATCACGTGGTGTGACACTTCACTCGCTACTCCTTCTAGTTAGGAGCCGCCCCGTGGCTCATTTTTTTGCTGTTCTTTTTACGGGGTCTTTGTACGATTTAATTGTTCCCCCTACCTTTTCAACAATTAAATCACGATTTAATTGTTCCCCCTAGAGTAAGAGTAATAATAAGAACAATAATCGTAATATTAGTAATAATAGTAATAATAGTAATAATAGTAATAATAGTAATAATAGTAATAATAGTAATAATAGTAATAATAGCAATAGTAATAATAATCATAATAATAATAGTAGTAATAGTAATAGTAATAGTAATAGTAATAATGATAGTAATAATGATAGTAATAGGAATAATAATAGTTGTAATAATAATAATAATGGTAGTAACAAAAATAATAATAATAATACTCATAATAATAGTAACAGTAATACGAGTAATAGTAATGGTAATAATTATAATGGTAGTAACAATAAGAAGAATAATAATACTCCTCATAACAATAGTAACAGTAATACGAGTAATAGTAATAGTAATAATCATAAGAAAATACTAATAAGAAGAAGAATAAGAATAATAATGGTAATACTAATAGTAATATTAAGACTAGTAGTCAAAATAATAATAATAATAATAGTAGTAAGACTCATAGTAATAGGAATAATAAGACTAATAGTCATAATAGTAATAATAGTACAATTAAATCATGATTTAATGGTGCAAACAGGTACCAATTAGCACAAGTCTTTGCTATACCATTAAATCACGATTTAATTGTCTTCCAGTCAAACGCAAAGAAACACAATTAAATCACGATTTAATTGTGTTTTTGTAGGGACAAGGTATGTCGAGGTAGGTCAAAACCCAACCCAAACACAACAATTAAATCAGGATTTAATTTTTTTTAACTTCTGGATCCATGGGTTTTCCAGGGTTCAGGCTTCAGGGTTCAGGGTTTAGTCTTTTAGGGTCTGGGGTTGAAGTTGTTTGGGCTTTAGTTGTTTGGGGTTTAGCTGTTTAGGGTTTAGGGTTTGTTTGTTTGTTTGTTTGTTTTTTTTTTGTTTTTTTTTTTTTTTTGCGGGGCTTTGGGTTCAATTTTCGAAGGGCGTAAAGCTCAGGGATGTGTAGGGTTGAGTGCCGGGTGCTTGGGGTCGGGGTTTAGGGTTTAGGGATTAGGGCTTAGGGTTTAGGATTTCGGGTTCAGGGATGTACTTAGAATATTTACGGTTTCGGCTCAGCGGCTAAAAGCATAGGCCACACATGAGCTGCAGCCTTTGTAGGTTTTTGGCTTTGGGCTTTCGAAGGGTTCAGTGATGGGGCATCTCATGGTCTGCAGGCTGGGCTTTTGGGCTTTGGGCTTAGGGTTTAGGGTTTAGGGTTTAGGGTTTAGGGTGTTGGGGCTCATGGCATTAGAGTCCCAAGTCCTAAGACAGCAACGCACCCAAAAGCCTTATCGAACCCTGTAGCTACTAAACCCACAACCCTAAACCCTGCTGAACCCCTGCAGGCCCTTGTAAACGCTAGGCCCACAACCACCAGAACCCGAAATCCTAAACTGTAAGCCCTTAAGCCCTTAAACCCTTAAACCCTTAAACCCTTGAACCCTTAAACCCTTAAACCCTTAAACCCTTAAACCCTTGAACCCTTAAACCCTTAAACCCTTGAACCCTTATATAAACCCTTGAACCCTTAAACCCTTAAACCATTAAACCCTTAAACCCTTAAACCCATAGGCCCTAAACCCTCCACCCCACACCCTACACCCTAAACCCTAAACCCAACCTTAAACTCAGTAGCCCTGGGTTGAATGCTCCTTAACTAGTGGCGCTTGATTCCCGAAGCCTAGCCCTCGACAAATTGGGATCATATACCTCCCCCACCCCCCACCCAAACCCTAACTCCTAAACCCTACACCCTAAACCCTTAAACACTCCAAGGTTTGTTTAGGAAGATGGGCCCTGGTGCCTAAACCCCGAAATAAGCCCGCCCCTAAACTCCAACAACCCTAGAAACCCTAATCCCTAAAACTCATTGAAGGTTCGTTTAAAGAATCATGAGCCAGGCAAGCTGAGAGTCGACCCTGAAGTTGAGGGCAGGGTTTAGGGTTTAGGGTTTAGGGTTTAGAGTTTAGGGTTTAGGGTTTAGGGTTTAGGGTTTAGGGTTTGGGGCTTAGGGTTTAGGGCTTCGAGTCGGGGGTTTAGGCCCTTCGGGGTTTGGTGTTGGGGCTTAGGGCTGTTGACCACTCTATTAAGGACTCCTAGTACTCTATTAAGGACTCCTAGTACTCTATTAAGGACTCCTAGTACTCTATTAAGGACTCCTAGTATAAGGGTGAACATCCCAACCTACCACCCAAATACTTAGCCTAAGTCTGTCGCAGCCCAGTGCGAAAGCATCCGGGGCCTGCGGTGGAAGACCTTTGCAAGACAGAAGCTTTCAGGAAGAGGTGTATATAGGTCTCAGGGTCTATAGATTCGGGCCTGGGCTTCGAAACGCGCGGCTGAGGTGAAGAGACGGGTTTAGGGAACATGGGTGAGAGAGATGTGAGGGCTGAGCTACATCGCGGGGCCTGCAGCTGGGTCTCGCTTGTAGCAAAGGGACCCAATAAACCCAAAACCCTCAACACCAAAACTCATGAAATTCCCGCCTCCGGCTTTCTTGGCTTAGGTTCTGAGCCTCTTGCTTTCGGATGTTCATGGCTTCTAATCAACTATAAACCCTGAACTCGGAGTTCAGGGTTGCGGAGCGCGTTTCGGGGGGCTTTTTAGGGTATCCTTTTAGGCGCTTGCGCATGAAAGGCTTTAACTGGGTTTGGGGTCTAGGGGGGGTTCAGGACTTTGGCCGAACCTCCCCCCCCCCCCCCGCTTGCGCATGAAAGGCTTTAACTGGGTTTGGGGTTTAGGGGGGGTTTAGGGTTTTGGCCGAACCCCCCCCCCCCCCCCCAACTCACATAAGATAGGGCCTAGAAACTTGTAGTGATGTTCTACTTCAAAACCCTATAAAACCTAAACCCCCAACCCGCCCTAAACCCTAAATAAAGCGGTATTATACCAGCCGAAGTGCCTTGGCGTGGAGCTCTTCACGTTCGCCCGGGGCGTCGTAAGCAGTACAGCCATGGCCTGTCTTTGGGCTTCGAGCCTAGGGATGTAAAAATAGACTTAAGGGTTTAGGGCTTACGTTTCAGAATGTTTAGGGTTTAGGGTTTAGGGGTTAGCTTGAATGCTCCCGCATTTTCTGCAGGGGGCGGACCAGCGAAAAAAAAACGGCCTATTAACCTGAGGTGGAAATCTTCAGGGGTCTTTCCCATTGTTGAGCTTCCACGCGCTCTGTTCAAGATGAAGGCGCAAGGTATGTGCTCCTGTGGGCCGGAGGGAGAGGGCTTTACAGACTCACGGATGGGCTTTGCCTTTAAACAGGGACCGCCCGAAACCCTAAACCCTATGACCCTAAACAGAAAGGTTTAAGTGCAGCTTACAGGTTCGGGGGTCCCCGCACATCGGCCGCAAAGCTTGCTTCCTCCCGTCCCGCCTTCACTGGAGGGCGACCATCAGCTGAAGCTTGCAGTTTAGGGTTTAGGGTCTAGGGTTTAAGGATTAGGGTTTGGGGTTTAGGGTTCAGGGTTTAGGGCTTCGGGCTTCGGAGTTCTTTGCCTGTAATATCAAGCAGAAACCTTGTTCAGGACTGGCGCTTCTGATGTACATCGGCTGCTGCACTTGCCCCCTAACATACCCATAACGATACTAATTACTTCTTCTCACTTGTTACCCTGAACCCGAAACCCGAAACCCGAAACCCGAAACCCTAAACCCTAAACCCTAAACCCTAATCGGTCCTGCTCGCACACTTTGGGGGTGGGGGGGGGGGGGGGGGGGGGGGGGGGGGGGGTTGGAGGGGGCTGAGATCGACGAGCCATACCAAGCAGCATCTGCAACTCGCAGCCGGATCTCTACTTAGCTAGGGTTTAGGGTTTAGGGTTTAGGGTTTAGGGTTTAGGGTTTAGGGTTTAGGGTTTAGGGTTTAGGGTTTAGGGTTTAGGGTTTAGGGTCTAGTGTTTAGGGCTGAGGATGGTTGAGGGCGGTTTAGGATGGTTTAGGGTGCAAGGTTGAGGGCCTGTAAGACAACCTGTACGGGGTTTAGGGTTCAGGCACATATGTCAAGGGGGGAGTTGCACATCAGGGCCGAGCAATCCCCAGTAGACGCTGGAATCTAGGCAAACAGCCAACGTGGGTCAGAACTGCCGGATTTGCTTCGGATGCCAGCGTTTTAGCACGCCGCTAAGGTAATCTCTAATTCGCTTAAACCTAAAGTGCCTGCGCCCAACAGCCCCCAAACCCTCCAACATAGAGCCCTATCATGTAGAATGGAAACTTCGGATGGTTTATGTTATCATTGTTGATAGGGAGCAGAAGGGGATAATCCCGAAAACATACTTAGGGTCCTGCAGTGCACCCTAAACCCTGAACTCGAAACTCTTCTGAAGCTGCGCTGTTTGAAGTTTGAAGCCAAAGCTACGGAGAGCCTGAGAATTTCAGCCTCATCCCTAGGGGTGGCCATTTGGGGTGGGGTGGGGTTGATCAGGGGTTTCTGTAGCACCCCCCTACCCCCCCCACCTTGTATCACCCCCTCCCCCGATTCCGCACTGCACTGTGTTCCTCTTTAGCGCACCCTGACCGGACGGGAATGCACGGAAAATCTCGCCTGGGCAGCCAAACGCGTGCACCCAGCGAGAAGCTCGCTTCTGGCGCAAGCACCACTATTGGTTTCAGGTTCGATATGAGCTGTTCTGGTGGGAGCATCACGACCATCGATGGGATCATCTCAACCCAAACATGGGCCAGATTCACAGGGCCGGATAAGCCTGGATCAACTCATCCCTTGACCGTCCCTACCCGGATTCTGGGAATTATGTTGTGAGAACGCTTTTGGGGAAACTGGTTGTCCATCGATCTTCCATCCTGATCCCAGGAGGGCAGGTCTTCGGAGTTTAGGGCTTAGGGGGATTGACGTTTAAAGTTCATGGGCTTATGGGGGTTTAGGGATTTACCTTGAGCCCTGAATCCCCAAAACATCGAGGGTTTAGGGTTAGGGGTTCAGGGTTTGCTTCGTGTTCGGGGCTGCGTCCGAGCGAGGCATGGTGCAACAGCGGCGACATTTGCCGCCTCTGGCGTTTGCCCAAATCAAATCGGGGGTACACTGTGAACTCTGGGTGCCCATTCTAAGCACCTTTGCAAGGACCTGTCCTGAAGAAAGGACCCTGGACTACAGACCATTTCATGCGGCCGCCCTCCTCCGGCAAACAGTTCGCACTTGTGCTGGCCGTGTACAAGGCCCGCGTAGGGCTAACCTAAACCCTAAACCCTACACCCTCTGGGATGATCCAGCGATTCGTATGGCATATACATGCTTTCCAAGAACAGTCAGGGGGACTCCCAGCTCAAGCAACTCTCATGGGGGGGGGTTCCGAAAGTAGGGGGCACCCTTGTTCAGGGTTCCTTATTACAAGGGAATCCTACTATTTGGGGATCTATATTAGTATTGTCGTAAACCCCCCATATGGGGTGTTTTCCGAAAATCCGGGGGTGCACTTCTTGAGGGGTCCTGTGATAAGGATTGTAGTATTTTGGGTTATATTTGGGGACCTTAGGGGGCCTTATTTTGGGAAATGCCCATATGAACCCTACAGAAAATTGGATAAACTTTGTATCATCTCTACGGGCAGCACATCTATCCTAACTCCGAAGATGCTTTCATGCCCCCTCACTCAGTGTCCTGCGTATTCTTGCCGCCGCAACGAGTGCAGCGAGTCACATACTTGCCGCCCGTTGTCACCTCGTCGTCCTTGCCGCCCTTTGTCTCCTCGTCGTCCTTGCCGTCCTTAGTCTCCTTGCCGATCATACCACTGATGAGCTTTAAGACGTCCTCGACAGTGATGGACAGCCAAAGGCCACTCCCATCCCAGAAACCATGATCATGCCGCAGCGCCTCGTACAGGGCCTGCTGGAAAACTCTGCGGATCCTCTGGCCGTTCTGGAGCTGAGAGCGGTACTTGATCAGGTTCGGGTGCGTCTCAAAGTACATCCTTGCTACGGCCTCCTGCGCGGGATCAAGGAGTTTCAATGAAGCAGAGCCACAGCTGAAGCTCGATGCCAGCTGCAAAACGGGGTTCTCCCAAAGTTTGGGGAACCTATTCCGGGGTTCTTATCATCAGGATTATCGGATAGTGGGTGGGCCTCTACTTCAGGACATGCCCACGTGCAAGTACCATCTCGGACAAGTATCTATGCGCAGGTCGTCAATCCGCATCAGCCCGACGATGTTGTTCAGGAAGCCTGCAAGGGTTATCAACTCAAGGGGGTCGTACCTGCCGAAGTCTGCGGCGGAAACAAACGAGGTGGCACTGATCTTCACCACCAGAGCAGCAATGCCGACACAAGCGCCTAGAAGGAAAGATGCTACCTCCACGCCAATTACAGCCCACTTCTGCGCGGCTGTAGTGTGCTCAAATCCAGTGGAAAACGATTGCCGCACTCGGGTTAGGAATTCTTGCGGGTTGGCCAGTCGCAGCAGCGAAAGAGCTGAAAAATCCGCCAGGTTTCTGACGACCCGTGCTGTGTACAGTGAATGGCCCGGGAGCTTCAGGCACCCGGTTAAATTTTGCACCGTGTCCTTGGGCACCCAGACAAGCACTAGCATGAGGGCAACACCACCCAGCTCCAACCAAGCAAGCAGGTGCTTCGTCTGATTTAAAGCCCGATGAGGGTCTCGAGGAGGTAGATAGAAAAGGTTGTAGACCACCATGAAAATGTTCAACAAAGCGCGGCCGAAAATCCTGATAACATGGAACTTTCGCCATCTATCGAAGTGTGTCAAGTTTGTCAAGCGACAGATGTCCTCATCTTGCATGGTTTTTGCACACACCTGGAACATCTCCTCTTCATGATGGATTTTTTGGGCAACCTGTTCAAGAAAGATGGTGAAGGTGAGGTATGGGATGAGAGCCATGAAGACCACCACTGCCAGGCCCACGCTGCTCAGGAACCATCTGCCGTGCCTGGTTTGAAGCCATTGGCCGCGCAAGATGCACCAGCCCAAGACCCTGCAGCATCTGTGTTTGAATAAGGGTTTAGGATTTAGGGTTTAGGGTTTAGGCTTTAGGCTTTAGGGTTTAGGGTTTAGGGTTCATTCTTGATAGAGCTAGGACTGCACAAGACCTGGAAAAACAACAAAAACAAAAAAACAAATTAAGAGAAAACTCGGCGCAATGAGTAGCGAGCAACGCCGCGAGAGCAGGCACAAGGCAAAACACGGTGAAGACGATCTTCCAGTTTTTCTTGAGCAATTGGCGACAAGACTGACAACAGGATTTCTCACCCTGGACATTTGGGGTATTCTGATCACCTAGGGTGCGGTCAGCCGGAGGACAGGATTCCTGACGTCCCGCAACGCCCTCCGGCTTGTCCATGTGCCTAGGAGGATGGGCAGGATGCTGAGACTTGCCAAGCAGCTGTGCCTGCGCATCTGAATTCCCAGCTTCGATGTCTGGCGCCGTCTGATTGTCATCCAGCATGGCGGAGGGACAAAGAGGGGGTTCCGAAAAACCCCCAGCGTTGGAAAAACCCTAAACCCTAAACCCTAAACCCTAAACCCCAAGCCTAAGCTGCCCAAATTTCGGACCTCTCAACCATCCTGGCCCTAAACTCCCATTACTTGGGCCATTTGTTGGCTGGGCGGGACGCGGGCCCTCTGGTGTCATGTATGGTCTAGGGTTTAGGGTTTAGGGTTTAGGGTTTAGGGTTTAGGGTTTAGGGTTTAGGGTTTCGAGTCATCTATGCCACGTGGACACGTCCACTCCCTAGGCATGGAGCTGCAAAGGCAGGATCGGAGCAGGGAGTACTTCCCTAACATTCTTTGCGACACATGCCAGTGACAGACCAGCAACGCTTTGCAAGATTGGGGGGTTTAGGGTTTAGAGTTTAGGGTTTCGGGTTTAGGGCTTAGGGTTTAGGAAGAACAACACAAAACCGGGTGCCGAATGGAATCTTAACCCTGAACCATGCTCCTTCGCGCAAGCCTGCGTCCAAGACGCTCTAAACCCCTAAGCCCTACAAACCTCTCTGCTGCGCAGCTGCTGTTTTCCTCACCGCTCGCCGGCGCGCGTCTTTAGCGCACCCTGACCAGATGGGAATGGCCGGAAATATCCGGCAAGCCAAACATCGGGAGTTCGTGCCCAAAAACCCTATAAACCCTATAAACCCTATAAACCCTATAAACCCCATAAACCCCATAAACCCTATAAACCCTATAAACCCTATACACCCTAAACCCATCGTAGCTGTAGGGGCAGAGGATCCCCAGGGAGGGTCGCCCCAACAAGAACCACAACATACCAAGCGAATGGTAGGGTTTGGGGTTTGGGGTTTGGGGTTTGGGGTTTGGGGTTTGGGGTTTGGGGTTTAGGGTTTAGGGTTTAGGGTTTAGGGGTCCCCTGAAATTGGTCCCGCTTTCTGAGAGCCTGGAGCGGTGCTAGCAGGACTCAGGGACCTGATATCCCGAATCCGACAGGGTTTAGGTTGTAGGAGTATTGGGTTTGGGGTTATGGATTTGGGGTTTGGGGCCGAGGGTTCTGGGTTTAGTTATTGTGAGGCTCATGGGGCTTAGCTAGGATGGCCCTTAAGACACTCTGAACAATATTCCTACATGTGATCCTCTTAAAACAAATGAATCAACATATAAAACATCCCAAGCGCCTACCTAGTGAGCCTGTTTGGGCAAAGGGTCCCCAACGAGGGCCCCCGGACAAGAACACAACAGAAAAGCGAATGGTCCCCCACTGGAGGGTTTGGCTGAATCCGGGCAAAGCATGGTGCGGGCAGCGGCGACATTTGCCGCCTCTGGCCTTTCCACATAGCCTATAGGCCAGCTGACTCCCAGGACCACAAGGGCACCAGTAAACCCTAAACCCTAAACCCTGAACCCTAAACCCTAAACCCTAAACCCAAAACCCTAAGCCTAAACCCTAAGCCCTAAACCCTCTTCTCTGAAAAAGAGTCCTGTGAGAGAACTAGTGAGCAATCTCACAAAGCTCGGCCCAGGGTTTAGGGCTTAGGGCTTAGCAGGGTTTAGGGATCCGGCCACGCACACCCTGGTCGAAGCCTGCAATCCACAAATCCACAACCACCGCCCCCCCCCCCCCCCCCCCCACCCCCCCCCCCCCGCCGCCCCCCCCCCCCCCCCCCCCCCCGCCCCCCCCCCCCCCCCCCGGCCCCGCCCCCCCCCCCCCCGCCGCCCCCCCCCCCCCCCCCCCCCCCGCCGCCCCCCCCCCCCCCCCCCCCCCCCCCCCCCCCCCCCCCCCCCCCCCCCCCCCCCCGCCCCCCGTCTGGAAAACACCCCAAGCCCCTACACCCAAACCTTTGAACCACTATCACAAGCCCAGCCCCCTTCAAGCCTTAAACCCCCCAAACCCTGAACTCTAAAGCCAAAGCCCTAAAGCCTGAACCTCAATTAAACCCTAAACGCCAAACTCTTAACCAGCTAACTTTTCGAACCGGCTACCCCCGCTATGGCAAAGCCCAAAGGGTCCTGGCAGCATCCGGCTTTGAATTGCAACGCAGGTCGGGTGACAATCGCGGTCTGCGTTTGCAGCACCCAGTGAGGCCCCGACGGCCCTGGTGAACCACCCAGGCTCTTTTTGGCCCTATTTTGACACCCTGAACCCTAGAACCCTACAACCCACAGAACCCCACAACCCTAGAACCCGAGAACCCTGCAACCCTAGAACCCTGGAAGCCTAGAAACCCTAGAACCCTAGAACCCTGGAACCCTAGAACACTAGAACCCTAGAACCCTAGAACCCTGGAACCCTAAACCCCAAACCCTAAACCCTAAACCCTAAACCCTAACCACAAAAGTCAAGGCCTGTAGGTCCTATGCCCTCTGCAACTTCGAAGGGCTTCTTTTGCGCAGGGCTGATTGCGGAAGCATATCTTCGCGTGGCTAGGGTTTAGGGTTTAGGGTTTAGGGTTTAGGGTTTAGGGTTTGGGGTTTGGGGTTTGGGGTTTGGGGTTTGGGGTTTGGGGTTTGGGGTTTGGGGTTTAGGGTTTAGGGCTTAGGTGTCGTAACTTCAGCAGGAGGAAAGGCTTCAGGTTTGTAGGGCGCGGCTTCCCTGACCGGACGCCCATTGGGGAAACACGTACATATTGTACGTATTCTGTATAACCTGAAGTTACGACACCTAAGCCCTAAGCCCTAAACCCTAAACCCCAAACCCTAAACCCTAAACCCTAAACCCTAAACTCATCCATGCATGTCTCTCTCTGTGCCTCTGCAGGTCTGCATAAACCCATGTAGCGCCCAAACTGATCCTCATCAATGTAGCCCAAATCCTAAACCCTAAACCCTACCTAACCCCTGAACCCTGAACCCTGAACCTGAACCCTAAACCCTAAACCCTAAAACCCTAAACCCTAAACCCTAAGCCTACCTAGACCCTAAGCCTACCTAAACCCAAAACCCTAAACCTAAACCCTAAACCCTAAACCGTAAACCCTAAACCCTAAACCCTAAACCCAAACCCCTAAAGCCCTTTCAAGCTCCAGTGGGCCCGAAAGACCCTGGGCTGACCAGGTGCCCTCCAGCGGGCCAGCTTGAGGATTGAATACAAGAAGGTCGGCGCGAGATTCTGAGCACCAGGGCGGGTTTAGGGTTTAGGGTTTAGGGTTTAGGGATTAGGGATTAGGGTTTCGGGTTTAGGGTTTAGGGTTTAGGGTTTCGGGTTTCGGGTTTAGGGTTTAGGGTCCCCCTAGAACTGAACCCCGCCTGTTTAGGGCTGCGGTTGTAGCGGTTCAGGGCTTTTGGTCTGAAGGGTTGGGGGGTTTAAAGTTGCGAGGGTCTGAGGTGTTCTGGAGGCACACATTTGCAGTGTGTGGCCGGATTCACCGTTTAGGGTTTAGGGTTTGTAGGGTTTAGGGTCTAGGGCATTTCCTGAACTTATTTTAACTAGGTCCTTCCCTTAACCCTTAATAGTAACCCCCCCCTACCCCCTAGCATTAAATGCTCCCATTACCGTTATATTGGAGTATAGGGGGGGGGGGGGGTATTTAGTGTAGGGGGGGGGGGGGGGGGGGGGGGGGCTAATGTTAGGGAAGGGGATTACACCACCCCCATGTGCACCCCAAAGTGCTCGAGTCCCTGTAGAAGGAACTCCAAAATGGATCCTCCCCATATTCAAGCATTGTTGGGAACCACCACATGACCTCACCAGTTAAAAAGACGATTAGGGAATTCGGTACCTGATCACCCAAGTGTGTATGATTGTCTGGTCCTAAACCCTAAAACCCTAAACCCCAAAACCTAAACCCCTTAGCTTCTCCAAGCCCTGATCCTCCTCCATCTAGACAGTTCAGGGCTGTTCGGTGCGTACGAAGTGCTCAGACTCCAGGCGACCTTACCCTACGACGCGCCATCGCAGAGCCATGGACACCATGGAGGAGACTTCTCAATCTTTTTATAGACCTTGCAACGCTAAACAAGACTGAAACTCTAAACCCCAAAGCCTACCAGTGGCTGAGGGAACTGTGATTTCAGTCATGAGGAATTTGGGATGGGTCCACAGGGGCTCAGGGTCACGAGGCTTTAAGCGTTCCGCATAACAGCTTTGAGGGTTTTCTCAGGTCTGGGTTTAGGTTTTAGGGTTTCGGGTTTGGGGTTTAGGGTTACCAATGTGATGGCACTATCTTCGTGAAAACATGCAACTATATATATATATATATATGTGTGTAGATATAAACAAATTGAATTCTAGTTCCTTGGTACTGGTTGCGGTTCGGATGTTTGCCTAAGAACTCGGCCTGATGCTTAATTCTGCATCGAATTGAAACAAATCATGATCGCCGAAGGCGAGCACGTGAGAGCCCCAACCCAAAACCCTCAACCCTACAACCTAAACTCGATATGCCTAAACCCTACACCCTACAACCTAAACCCTACAACCTAAACTCTATAACCCTAAACCAAAAAAACCCTAAACCAAAAACCCTAAACCCTACACCCTAAACCCTAAACCCTAAACCCTCAAGTCCATGGTCGGCAGGCACCGCTCTGACGCTGGCATCGTTATCAATGCAAAGAGTGGCTCACCAGCCCCTTTTCCACCCCCCCCAGCAGCCGCATCTTCGGCACGCGAGGGCATTGCCTTCCTTGGGCACTTACAGGTAACTTACAGGTCTTGCAGGGAGAAAGCTGGAAGCTTAAGAGACTTTTGGGGCTTAGGGCCAGTGAGGATCAGTGAACTAAACCCTCAACCCTAAACCCTGAACCCTGAACACTCAAGCTGTAGGGGCTTCAGGCACTATACTGAAGGGAGGCCACAGCCTTGTCATGTAGAAGTCGCCGCTGAGACGTGATAGAACTGACAAGCCGATGGCGAAGCTCGAGGGCATCGTGTGAGACGGAGAGCTGTGGGCATCACGCCGTCAACACCACGTGGGCCGCAACTAACAGTCAACTCTTCTCTCCTCAACCCTAAACCCTGAACCCTACTTAAACCCTGAAGGGTGTTGGAGAAAAATC